GTATATATATTACCGCTAAAAGTTGTTTTTGTTGTAGTGATTCTTCATATTCAACAAGAATAATAGTAAGCAACTCCCATACCCATGCTACAAAAACTTGGTGGTGATATTGCATAAAAAGTACGTTACTTGATTCTTCCCACTCTCATGCCCATGCTACAAAAACTTCCCTGTCTATTTACCAAAAGGCTAATTAATTTACCCCTGTGGCCTTTTACCTTCATGCAAATTGCAATGATACAAAACCACCCCACTCCCCAAAAAAATGTGTGCGTGGGTTTGGGGGATTAATATATATTTTGTCTGGCGGGTGAAAAAAATCCACCCGTCCCTAGTCATGTCCATGTATAATCTTCATCTCACATTTACACAAGTCAATGATTGTAAAGGCTAAACCTTAGTAAAAATTAGTAAATTTAGCGCTATTTTTTGTTGTGGAATTTAATTTGTTGAACTGATGTGTAGTGTAAAAATGCCCTCTTCTTTCTTTTTCTCTAGCAAAACCTTACCCTACATATAAATTAAAGGTTCTTTGGTCAACATATTTTAAAGCGTGAAATCATTATTGCCTCTTCCAAAATCTAAACAACTTTTTCAAGTTTACATGGAATTAATTAATTAATTAGTAAAATTTTAAATCAAACTAGGTAGGCCGCGTGCTTTGTCATAACTCATACGTCAATATTCTCAACCTAACATACCAAAAGCCAAAAAAAAGGACGATTAAAGAAAGCGAATCACCTTTTGTCTCTTCTTGTCCTCTATCAATCAATATAATACGTACACTAGTTCACTCCAAACTTTTCTAAAATCAAAACAATTCTAGAATATTACAACAATTCAAGGAGAAAACATTTAATTTAGGAAAATCCAGTAAGATAAATTAAAATATTAGTGAAGTTATGGAGAACTTTGAGGAGGATTCCTTAACTTTTAGATACAAGAACTAGAAGACACCAATCCAATGTTAAAATAAATAAATAAATAAAAGTTAGAACATTTGTTTTGGAAGTTGTCAAAAAAGAATTCTCAAGCATCCATGGTCCTTGGGGAGGTTTATATTCCTTAAATAATTTAAGACAACAAATCAAACAAAAATGCCTAACCATGAAAGTAAGGAATTGTAAGTTAGTAATGAATTAACCATGTGCTTAAGATACCTTTCTTACGTATGTAATTGCTAGCTTAGCTTTTGTCTTTTTTCCCTCGTTATTTTTAAATGTAATTAACACCCACATAATTCTAGCGCTAATTCCTACTTAAACTAATAAATTATGTACTATTTGTTTTCGTTAACCAAAGAAGAACTTTCCAAGAAGAGGAGAAGGCCAAAGGAATAGAGACACTGGATCAAATGTTGAACAAAAGAAAATTAGTACTGTATTCGGTTTTGATATTAGTGATGTTTTGACTGAATTGTTCCCTGTTTTATTTTTTCTATAACTTTGGATTTGGATGTGCCTATATTATATATTTATATATTGCTAAATTTTATAAATCTGTCCAATCATTATCCAAAAGTTTTGATTCTTTCTGTCTTGAGCTGGCTCAATATTACGTGCGCTAGAGGACGAGGATGGACCATTAATCATGATTCATGATCTAATTTACGATATATATATATATATATATATATATATACGAATATACGTAAATTACTACAGGTCAATTTATGTGACACTATTTTTTCAATCAGTCCAAAAGAAAAAACAAATAATGCATTTCTATATTTAACAATAATTTGATTTTTAATTTTTAATTTATATCCTTAATAAAAATAATTTATAGTCTTTTTCTATTAGAAACCATTCACCAAAGCTATACTCACATGTTGAAAGAAAATAAAGAAGATGGAGATAGGGAAATTTTCTGTGTATTTCTTCATCAATAATTACATAGATTTATACATGTATCCTAAGGACTAGAGTGCAAGAAACGTAAGGACTAATTACAAATTATTTAAAAATTACTGTAACAAACTCTAACTAATTCTATACACCTCATTGTGTTCTAGAAGATGCTGTTTTGTTTCTTTGAGCCTAACAGAGTATTGCTCACAAAGGCCCAAATCTGATATTGATCACAAAGGCCCAAATCGGATTGGCCCAAGACATTTACTCTTTTCAGACAAGCTTGTATAGTTTAGAACCTTCACTTATTTCTGAATCAAGCTTGTCTTTTTCATCTCTTACTTTTCTCTGCTGCGTATCAATTGAGGAAGAAAGCTTCTCTCCAACATCCCCCTCAAGTTGGAAGGGAGAGACATCACACCCAACGTGTTCAAAATATGACGATGAGAAGCCCCTGAGAGTGGTTTAGTAAATAGATCAGCAAGCTGACAGTCCGAAGGAACGAAAGAGAGAGTGATGAGGCCCGATAAAAACTGTTGGCGCACAAAGTGGCAATCCAGATCGACGTGTTTTGTTCGTTCGTGGAAGACTGGATTGCGAGCGATGTGTATTGCTGCCTGGCTATCAGAGTGAACTGAAATCGGAAGAGATGGTGGAGAAGAGAGATCTTCAAGAAGCCGAACTAACCAGGTGAGCTCAGCTGTCACTCGACGCATTGATCTATACTCCGCTTCGGCAGAGGATAGGGAAATCGAAACCTGCTTTTTCGACTTCCATGAAATAGGTGCCCCTCCTAAAGTGATAAAATAGCCACTAACAGATCGTCTTGTGTCTTTGCAAGAAGCCCAGTCGGCATCACAGAAAGCTAGCAGATCGAGGGATGGATCAGATGACAAGAGTATTCCTTGACCGGGATCAGCACGCAGATACCTTAAGACACGAAATGCTGCTGATAAATGGGATTCAGTGGGCCGTTGCATGTATTGACTGAGGCAGAGAACAGCAAAAGAGAGATCTGGACGTGTGTGGGTAAGATAATTCAGCTTCCCTACTAAATGCCGATAAAGTGTAGGATTAGCTAATAGAGGTCCATCATCATGTTGTAATTTGGAATAAGGATCAAGAGGTGAAGTGACAATAGATCCTGAAGAGTCGAATTCATCCAGAAGCTCATGAGTAAATTTCCGTTGACTTAGAATAAAACCCTGTCGTTCTCTGATTATCTCAATCCCCAAAAAATAGTGAATTTCACCTAAATTCTTAACTTTAAACTCAGAGTTGAGAAAAGAAGTGAGAGAAGCAATTTCAGAGGTATCACTACCAGTAAGCAGTATGTCATCGACATACACAGCTAATATAGATATCAGATCACCATTAGTCTTGAAAAATAAGGAGTAATCATTCAAAGAACTCGAGTACCCCTTGTAGGTGAGAGCACCTGCAAGTCGAGCATACCATTGACGGGAGGCCTGTTTTAATCCATATAGTGACTTCTTCAAAAGACAGACAGATTGAGGACTGGGTGGGGAAAGGCCAGCTGGGAACCGCATGAATACTTCATCTTGCAACTCTCCATGTAGAAAAGCATTATTGACATCAAGTTGGGATACCTGCCATCCTTTCTTGATGGCAATAGTTAGCAAACACCTGATTGTGGTCATCTTTACCACAGGAGAAAAAGTTTCTCCATAATCAATGCCTTCCCTTTGTATGTCCCCCCTGACCACCAGTCTTGCCTTAAGCCTTTCAACAGAACCATCAGAATTGTGTTTCACCTTGTAGACCCACTTACAAGGTAGAGGCTTCTTACCAGGGGGTAACTCTGTGACAACCCAAGTCTTATTATGTTCAAGAGCAGCAAGTTCATCCTTCATGGCTTGCTGCCAACCTGCATGTTTGGAAGCCTCAGCAAAACTTTTGGGTTCTGTGAGTACGGATAATGAATGCAACATTTGTTGGTTTCCAATAGATAAGGCTGCAAAGGCAAAAGCAGTAGGCCTATTGGAATGGACAAAACAAGAGTTAGTAACATCTGTGAGGAGAATGGAGTTACAAACAAAATCCTTCAAATAAGAAGGCTTTTGACTGATTCTTTCTGATTTTCTGATTGGTGTGGGACTAGAAACGGGAGCGGAAGTACTTGGAAGAGATGAACTGGGAATAGATTCAGGTTCAGGAGGGTTTGGAGTCCCAAAAAGAGGCAAGGATGATGAGTCTGGTAGGAGATCAGGGGCAGTGAATAAATGGGAAGGTGTAGAAGAAGAACATTGGGTCGCAAAAGGAAAATGAGATTCATGAAATTTGACATCTCTGGAAACAAAGATCTTCCTGGTTACCAAGTCCATGATTTTGTATCCTTTCTGATTGGGAGGATACCCAATGAAAACACATTCTGTTGCTTTTGGCTGAAATTTGTCCCTAGCATGAGATAATGTGGAGACATAACACAAACAACCAAAAACTTTAAAATTGGCATAATCAGGTGGAGTAGCAAATATCACTTCATAAGGTGTCATTCCCATTAATACCTTAGAAGGCAATCTGTTAACAAGGTGAGTGGCAGTGAGAATGCACTCACCCCAATACTGAATAGGTAGATGTGAGTGGAAAAGCAAACCTCGAGCCAATTCCAAAAGGTGTTTGTGTTTTCTCTCCACAACACCATTTTGTTGTGGAGTAGCAACACAAGACCTTTCATGAATAATTCCTGCAGAACAGAAAAATGCCGCCTCTTGAGTTCCTCTCCCCAGTTCCATTGCATTATCAGACCTGATTTTCTTAACTTTTAAACCAAACTGTCTATCCACCATTGCGAGGAAATCTTTGAGTACAGGAAAAGCATTGCTTTTAGTTTTCAACAAGAAAGTCCAAGTACCCCTACTATAATCATCAACAATGGTCAAAAAATAATTATAACCATCATGTGTTGAAGTTTTGTAAGGTCCCCATGTATCAATATGTAGTAACTCAAACAGAACTTTGGACTTAATTGCACTTATAGGAAAGGGCAATCTATGTTGTCTAGCTTTTGGACAAACAGGACAAATGTATTGAGAATTAGAATTTATAGATAGGAAACTAAGATTCTTCATTACGGAAAAGGGCAAATGACCCAACCGGACATGCCATAAGGCTACATTAGGAACAACATTAGCAAATATAGGAGTAGAAAGTTTCTCCATAATCAATGCCTTCCCTTTGTATGTCCCCCCTGACCACCAGTCTTGCCTTAAGCCTTTCAACAGAACCATCAGAATTGTGTTTCACCTTGTAGACCCACTTACAAGGTAGAGGCTTCTTACCAGGGGGTAACTCTGTGACAACCCAAGTCTTATTATGTTCAAGAGCAGCAAGTTCATCCTTCATGGCTTGCTGCCAACCTGCATGTTTGGAAGCCTCAGCAAAACTTTTGGGTTCTGTGAGTACGGATAATGAATGCAACATTTGTTGGTTTCCAATAGATAAGGCTGCAAAGGCAAAAGCAGTAGGCCTATTGGAATGGACAAAACAAGAGTTAGTAACATCTGTGAGGAGAATGGAGTTACAAACAAAATCCTTCAAATAAGAAGGCTTTTGACTGATTCTTTCTGATTTTCTGACTGGTGTGGGACTAGAAACGGGAGTGGAAGTACGTGGAAGAGATGAACTGGGAATGGATTCAGGTTCAGGAGGGTTTGGAGTCCCAAAAAGAGGCAAGGAAGGAGGCAAGGATGATGAGTCTGGTAGGAGATCAGGGGCAGTGAATAAATGGGAAGGTGTAGAAGAAGAACATTGGGTCGCAAAAGGAAAATGAGATTCATGAAATTTGACATCTCTGGAAACAAAGATCTTCCTGGTTACCAAGTCCATGATTTTGTATCCTTTCTGATTGGGAGGATACCCAATGAAAACACATTCTGTTGCTTTTGGCTGAAATTTGTCCCTAGCATGAGATAATGTGGAGACATAACACAAACAACCAAAAACTTTAAAATTGGCATAATCAGGTGGAGTAGCAAATATCACTTCATAAGGTGTCATTCCCATTAATACCTTAGAAGGCAATCTGTTAACAAGGTGAGTGGCAGTGAGAATGCACTCACCCCAATACTGAATAGGTAGATGTGAGTGGAAAAGCAAACCTCGAGCCAATTCCAAAAGGTGTTTGTGTTTTCTCTCCACAACACCATTTTGTTGTGGAGTAGCAACACAAGACCTTTCATGAATAATTCCTGCAGAACAGAAAAATGCCGCCTCTTGAGTTCCTCTCCCCAGTTCCATTGCATTATCAGACCTGATTTTCTTAACTTTTAAACCAAACTGTCTATCCACCATTGCGAGGAAATCTTTGAGTACAGGAAAAGCATTGCTTTTAGTTTTCAACAAGAAAGTCCAAGTACCCCTACTATAATCATCAACAATGGTCAAAAAATAATTATAACCATCATGTGTTGAAGTTTTGTAAGGTCCCCATGTATCAATATGTAGTAACTCAAACAGAACTTTGGACTTAATTGCACTTATAGGAAAGGGCAATCTATGTTGTCTAGCTTTTGGACAAACAGGACAAATGTATTGAGAATTAGAATTTATAGATAGGAAACTAAGATTCTTCATTACTGAAAAGGGCAAATGACCCAACCGGACATGCCATAAGGCTACATTAGGAACAACATTAGCAAATATAGGAGTAGAAAAATGCATACAATCAGATTTAGCAACTGAAACAGAAACAGTACTGGAATGATTTCCTTTGGGAATTGAAACTACTTCACTAGAAACAACAATGGAATTTCTTCCTTTTTGAAAAGAAACTATATTGCTAGAAGATTGTGATTGCTTTCTAGAGGGCTTGAGTAGATATAATCCATCTCCTACTTCACCAAAAACTTGTTCCTTCCTCAGAGAAAGGTCCTGTAAGACACAAGTATTAGGAGTAAATAAGATGTTACAATGAAGATGATTGGATAACTTATGAACAGACAATAAGTTATATTTAAAATCTGGAACATGAAGGACATTGTAGAGTGTAAGATTAGGCAGAATGTTGACATTTCCTGTATAAGTGACAGTGATCCTGAAAGAATTAGGCAAACTGATATTCAAAGGTATAGGAAGAGGAGTGAGAGACATAAAAGACTTGGAATTAAAACACATATGCTCAGAAGCACCCGAGTCAATAATCCAAACATTTGAATTGTAGACTGTAAAACATGATCCTGAATACTTTAGGATTGTACCAGCAATGGCTTTAGCGTTAATGGTTGATCCCGAGCTGCTTGCTTGGTTGATGTGCATGTCTTTCTTTACTTGTTGCACCAAGTTTGAGTATTGTTCTTTACTGAGGTACTGAGCATAGTTGTTGTTCCCTGTGTCTCCATATTGGGCAATGACATCTTCAGCTTCCTCCTTTGGTATGACTGCATTCCCTTTCACTGTGCCTTCAAAATTCCTTGACTTTGTAAACTCAAAATCATCAGGATACCCTATGAGCCTATGACAATCATCATGTACATGCCCTGTTTTTCCACAATAGGTACAACTCACATTTGGGTTGTATTTGGTTTTCCTTGGCTTAAACCTTTGAGCTGATTTTCCAGATTTTTGAGTAGAGGAATATCCAAACCTCTGGCCTGTTTGCCCTCCTCTAAATGTTTGATTGTTGGTTTGATTGTTGGTCTTGTAATTTCCCCTGCCTTGTCCTGTTGCCATGAAAGAAGCTGCAGCAGGTGAGAAAGGAGGATGCACAATTCCTTCTCTGTGATTTTCATCCTGTAAAAGCAAAGCATATGCACTGTCAATTGTTGGTAAAGGAGTCATCATTAAGATGGTTCCTCTAGCCTGAGCATACAGATCATTCAGACCCATCAAGAATTGAATGAGTCTTTGATCTTCCAAAGCCTTAGTTAATTTTCCTTTTCCTTCACATGTACACACACAAATGCAACATGTGAGCAGATTGAGGGAGTCTAATTCATCCCATAGTCGTTTGAGCTTGGTGAAGTAACCTGCAACATCATTATTTTCCTGCACTAAACATGATAATTCTTTTTGAAGGTGGTACAGTTTAGCTCCATTAGACCTTCCAAATCTCTGCTCCAAGCTGTCCCAAAGCTCCTTAGCAGTTTTAGAGTAGATCACACTATCAGCTATTTCCTTGGATAGTGAGTTCAACAACCATGACATCACCATGTCATTGCAGCAACTCCATTGCTCATAGTCCACTGCAGTCAGAACAGGGGCTCTGCAAGCACCATTGATGAATCCAAGCTTTTTCTTGGCTGAGAGGGCAATGAGAATAGACCTTCTCCAACCTGGAAAACCTTTTCCATCAAAAGTAGAGTTGATCAGACTCATTCCAGGCGAATCTGAGTTGTGAAGGTGATAGGGGTGATTGCTGGTGAAGGTTTCACCATTTCCAGCAATGGTTTGACTTCCACCACTGGCTTGAGTTACAGTTGATTCCCCAGTCATATTTGAATGCAGAAAGTATGGAAATGATTAATGGAAGTTGAAGATGATTGGATCGAGCTAAAGCTTTGATACCATGAAAGAAAATAAAGAAGATGGAGATAGGGAAATTTTCTGTGTATTTCTTCATCAATAATTACATAGATTTATACATGTATCCTAAGGACTAGAGTGCAAGAAACGTAAGGACTAATTACAAATTATTTAAAAATTACTGTAACAAACTCTAACTAATTCTATACACCTCATTGTGTTCTAGAAGATGCTGTTTTGTTTCTTTGAGCCTAACAGAGTATTGCTCACAAAGGCCCAAATCTGATATTGATCACAAAGGCCCAAATCGGATTGGCCCAAGACATTTACTCTTTTCAGACAAGCTTGTATAGTTTAGAACCTTCACTTATTTCTGAATCAAGCTTGTCTTTTTCATCTCTTACTTTTCTCTGCTGCGTATCAATTGAGGAAGAAAGCTTCTCTCCAACACATGTGGGCTGTGGTGATAAGGTTTGGCATGACTCCTACCAGTCTATATAAGCTTCCACAAATATGTTGTGTATTATTTATTCTGAATTTCTTATCATAAATAGATTTTTCTTTTAGGAAAATGTTTATAATTGGCTAGTCCTTTTTTCGTCCACCTTTCCTCTGATATCCTCATTCTTAAATATATTTCTCCTAGTAAACCCACACATCCATCACAATATCATCTCCTCCGCCACCTTTATCTTCTAAATGTGAAAGCTCCTGACAAGGGCGGAGCCACCTTGTCCCAAGGGTGTCCAATTGGACACCTTTCGGCGAAAAATTGTACGATTTATACACGTAAAATTTTGACTTATATTGGTATATATGGTATTTTAAACACTCTAAAGTAACAAAGTGACCTGTAGTGGAGATGGTTAGAGCTGTCGCAAATCTACTTGTTGCCCCAGTTCGATTCCCCGCATGAGTGTTCTCATTTTTTCATCTTTCTGTAATTATTTTGCCTTCTTGAAGTTTCTAAGTAAATAAACATGCATAAGTTTAACATAAATGTTCAGTAGCTTTGTTGTAAATAGTGTCATGCTTGTCTTGAGTGACCCAAGTTCGAATGTCACCTTCAATAAGGATTTTTTTTCAATTAAAATTGAATTATTTCCTTAAATTTTAATACATTTTCCTTGTGGAATAAGATTTTCTTATATTTTAATACCTTTTTCCTTTGTGGAATAAGATTTTCTTAAATTTTAATACATTTTTCTTTTGGAATAAGGTTTTAATTGAAAAAAAATCCTTAAATTTTAATATTTTTTCCTTGTTG